AGAGAGAGAGAGAGAGAGAGAGAGAGAGAGAGAGAGAGAGAGAGAGAATATATCAACGGAATGTTCCTCTGCTCCTCCTACTTTGGATAACATCTGCACAGGAAGAGTGATTAGAGCCCCTGTCACCAGACACTGCTTCTTAGACATCAAAACTATGAATCCAGGATCACTGGGAGCCTTCTTATTTTTAAAGAGAAACGTAATGTGAATATCTTGTGCGCTTCATGTTTTAAATCCATAACAGTGACTGTACAAGATTCCTCCTATAACAGTCCCCAACCAAAGCAAGAGATGTTCTAAACACTCAGGGAGTTTTATTTGTTTGTGAGGTCCTGTGAGATGGATCCCTGGGCAAATAAACACTCCTAAGACAGGGTCTTGATATGCAGTCCAAACTGGCCTAGAACTCACCACCCTCCCTCCCTCTGAGGACGGGATCTCAGGGATGTACCACACCTGACTTTTTAATGTAAAGTTCTTATATTTATAAATATGGAGATTAGATCATCTACTTCCCCACAATACTTTGCAAAGTGACTGATATCTAAGAATTATGAATAAAAATATTAAAGATACAAAAATGTGAAGATACTCAAAATGGTAAAAGCTTTTTGTATGATTGGCTTTGGATTTGTTTTTGGTATTTGGAACTGAACCCAGACACTCATGCATGTACAGTAAACATATGCTCCAACACTGTGCAACAAATCCAGCCCCTGGTCCTAATATTTGTTTCATTTCCAATTTTATTTATGGAGTCAGAAAGCTGGGTGAGCTATGGGATTCTGTCTCAGGAGATCCCGGAAGCAAGGCTGGTCCTGATAAGCGTCTATCCATTCACCTCCACCATCTACTTCCCCACAAAAGCAATCCAAAGTACAGTGCTTTGGCATGACAAAATTAAAAAGAAAAAACATAATCGCACGAATCTGGAAAGATGGAAACACAAGAATCACACGGTGATTGTACATCAGACAAGCCTCGGACAAACAGAGCATAAGGCTAAAGACGCACTTTCCTCAAAGTGGATCTAGTCAGTGAAACCAGTACTCAATGGAAGAAAGATTACTGACCAGAGATCATAGCCAAAGGGAATCAGTGGGGTGGGGTGGAGTGTTGGAGATGAAGTTTATCAGAAATCTTTTTCACCGTTATGTTCTTTGGTAGGGGTGGGGGGGTGGCTAGGTTTGGAAGCATCTCAAATCTGCCAACGTAGTTCAACACAAACATCTCTCTGTTTGCACTTCTTTTCCACGAATCATCATCACTGCACAATTACACCAAGAACTTCTCTAAGTACCACAGAAACATGCCAGTGAGCTGTACTTGAAGTCACCTGAGAATCTCTGAAGCTACCTTCCAAGCTTCTGCTGTTGTAGACCTTGGACAGACCACTCCCTAAAGCCTATGTGGTTATCTCAAGAACATGCTCTTCCTGTCCTATGCTTTATGAACAGGTCAGTGTGTATACAGTGCAGAATCTGATCTTTCTGGGTAAACAGCATAGCTGAACTGTAACACTCTTGCCACCAGCCCAGTTTGTTGAATACTGCTTAGTCACCTGAAGAGGTAGTGACCTTAAGGAGTTCCCTTCCCTGTCCTAGGCCCATCCCAACACCCAAAGCAGCTGCTAAGTCAACCACCATGCAGAGACTCACTTACACTGATAGTTAGCTCAAATGATGTCAATATAAAGAAAATTCTTAAACCACAAACTTTATGACAACTGAAATAAGAAATAAGCAGATCTGGGGGCTGGAGAGTTAGCCATCAGCAATTAGGAGCATTGGCTTCTCTTCCAGAGGACCCAGGTTCAATTCCCAGCACCTACATGACAGTTTACAACTGTCTCTAGCTCCAGTTTCAGGGTGTCTGGCACCCTTATACCAACGTAAATTCAGGCAAAACACCAATGCACATGAAATAAAAATAAATAAAAGTTTTAAAAGTTAACAACAACAAAACAACAACAACAACAAGAAGAACAGATCTGACCGAATTCCATTAGGCCTAAGACAGAGACAGCCGCAATCTCTTTCCCTCCCAGCTGGAAAAGGCTAGAACTACTTCAAAGGCTGAAGAGTCACTAACCAATGCCCTCTCTTGGGATCACAAAGCAACATGCCTGATCTAAAGGCAGTCTGAGATGGAAGTTTAGGCTATAAGAAAGATTTAGAACTCAAGAGCCAGCCACACAGCAGAAAGATTTATTTGTTTCCACTCAATGATTTCTAAAAGATTAAAAATTTTACAACAGCTTTGTTTGCATTGGTCAAACTTCTATGTAATTCTTATAGTGAGCAACATTTGAAATGTGCATAGGCCCACCAGGTCAGGTTTTATTTTATGCTGTGTTCAAAGTTTGCTTCCCAACCAGTCAAGTTTACATACATAGATCTCTCTGCATGCCTCCCTTAGCACCAGCTAGTATCACCTCTGGTAAAAGTCTTAATGTATGCATGATTTTAGTGCTATTCTTAAGCCAATTAAAAAAAAAAAAAACTTCTAACAATGAAAACTGTTAACCACCAAGAAGAATTTCAACACTTACTTGACAATGTCAGATGAGCTTTCTGACTAAGAATGGCCCCATATTTGTTCACTGCCAAGCACTGATAAAATCCTTCATCGGTTTGCTCTCCCCGCCTGCCTTCCACCTCACTGATGTATAAGGAGCCATTAGATAGAACCTGGATCCGTTTATTTTCAGACAATTTTGCTCCATTTTTCAACCATGTGACCTTAATGGGACCTTCTCCATGTGCCTGGCAATCTAAAAAGACTGGGTCTTTCCTTGTGACTGTTGTATCCTGTGGTTCTTTCATGAAAAACAGTTCGTTAAAGCTCCACACTCCTGCAAAGGAAAAAAGGGAGAAAGGTATATCCAGAATTACAGGTATAAAATCACACAACTGTAAAACACATATTCGTGGTAAAAGGTAAGTTTCTCTAGCCATAATCATCAACTTCCAAAGACCTTAATAACTACAGATACTACCAACAACTCAAAACATGGGAAGATTCTAATACCTTCTATGCAGCCTAAAAATTTGGTTCTCAGGTTTCTTGCCAGAGACCCAAAATCATCAGAACCTACTAACACAAGCTGTTGGCTACTTTTACAAGCTTGTCAAAAAGATCTTGAACAGGGTTAAGTCATAAAAGTCTAATTTTACAAGAAATCATTAGCCAAACTCCAACTCTGTGAACAAGCGAGTTTATTTCCTTGTCTCTTGAAGTGTTTTTGGGAAACCCAGAACCTACGCTGTTGGGAAGTACGTTTATCTTTTGTGACAAATTACAAGTTTGCATTTTTTTCTTCCTATCTGCCCTTTTACAGCAGGGATGCTGTCTCCTCTCCTTAAAAGAAATCCATTTACTTCATTTCTGCCAAGCCAGCTAGGTATTTAAAGGGCACACAATAGACTTTGAAAAGTTGGTAACTTGCCGCTTGTACTCAGTGGGTGATCGGATTAGGAAACCTTTATTTCACTTTTTTAGTGCTACCAACTGTTGGAAAAAAATGCGTGACTAATTGGTCCTTACTGTCTAAGAGGGATAGGAGATTGCTTAATCAGCCAATACACATTTTTATCAGAGCAGAGGAAATGCTTTATCCAAGCATACACAAGCCGCAGGTCCCCCAGAATAAAGCATTCGTTGCCTCCTGTCATCAGAGCAAAAGCACGATTATCTGAGCCGGCAAAAAATTAGGGATCTTGGAGGGAGATTTTTTTTTTTTTTTAAACACTTCTTCTGGTCAGTTCGAAGCCCTGGTTACAAATACCCAGCAATGATTTATCTGTTTCTGATCAAGACAGATCCTGAAAACCTCAGAGTCTGGGACTCCAGACTTCCCCTAAGATCTGCCCCAGGCAGCTACCCCAACAGCCCCGTGAGCATGCACCTCTCCGGAAGACGCCCATTGTGTTTCTGAGCCGCATCCTATTTTGATCCTTTCTCTTGCTAACTAAAACTAACTCGCCAGAAAAAAAGAAAGAAAGAAAGAGAAGGAAAGAAAGAGAGAAAGAAAAGAGGAAAAGAGGAGAGGAGAAAAAGAGGAGGGGGGGAAGAAACCAGTGATTTTTAACTTACAAATGAATAACTCAAGCTCCTCTGGTCAAAGACTCTCCTTTCTTTAATATTCACTTTACATTTTTCTGTCTTTGAAGAAACCAAGATTGCAGAAAGAGAAATAAATTTATGTGAGTTCGTGCAAGGTTAATCTGGAGGTTTCAGGGACCTCCAGCCGGTACCCCAAAGACCTATGCAGAAAGTACGTTCTATCCAGACACCTTTCTCCCTGCCTCTTTTGTAGCACAAATGGGCCGTACAACTTCCAAGCTCCTTCTCTTTGCAATTTCATCCTCCCATCTCCTCGCTCAGTTTGGAGCTGAGAAAACGCTCGGCTAACGTGAGACCTGGAGGAACCCCACTGCAAACCCTGGAAACGGCGCGCAATCGCGGCGCCCCCCTGCGTGGCGAGGCTGCCACTCAGGAAACAATATAAATAAAACCACGTGCGGCCGCGGCCCGGGAGGCAGCGCGGAACCCCCAGCTGGCCGTAGCTCGGACAATGGCATGAGCAGGGCTAGTGGTCAGCGGCTTCAGGAAGACTCGGCCTCGGAGCGCTCGGAGAGTGCATCCAGAGAGAACCCTGGCCGGCCCCACCACCCGGGGCATCTCGGCCCGTCCCCCTCCCCGCGCACGGTCGCGCACACTCGCATGGGGAGCGCGCCCACCTGGAACCGAGCCGAACGGCGGCAGTAGCAGCAACAGCAGCAGGGGCAGCATCCCCGGGCGCACGGGAGGCGCCATTCAGCGGGGCTGCGCAGGCATGCTCCGGGGCTGTTCGCCCGCGCCCGCTGCTCCCGCTGCTCTCCTGGACCCGCAGCTCCTGCTGCAACCCCCTGCTCCGGCGTGGCGAGGCAACGTAGGCGCACGGAGCCCCGCGAGTGCGACAAGCCGCGGGGACCACGCGCGCCGCGTCCAGCCAGGGGCGGAGGGAGGCTGTAGAGGGCGGCGCAGTGGACAGCCTGGCCGGCCGGGGACTACTTTCTACATCTGGCCCCTGGGCCCCGCACGGCGAGGTCGGCGCTGCTGGCGGAGGGACACGCTGAGATCGCCTGGGCGACCCCAGGGACAGGGGGAGGGCCCCGCCGGACAATGCACCTGGGGGTCAAGCCCCCGCCCCTCGGCCTGCGCGCCACGGCCGGCCACCAGGCCACAAAGGCCAATCCTCCTGGCCGCGGCCAGCCCCCCAGGGCCCTTCTCCCTCCTTCGGACCAGTTGAAGATTCTGCACGGAGGAGGGGGCTGGGGTGGAGGGATGGTGTTGAGAGATGTGGAAAGGCCGGAGACTTCTCCCCTGATGGCACCCTGCCCATCCCCCTGCCTTGCTCACCCGCCCAGGCCCTTTTCAGGGAAGTCCAGTTCCCACTTCTGAGGCATGTCAGCGCCCCTGGAGGCATCCTATTCCGACAACCCCCACACCCCAACTACCACCCACATTTGGAGACTGTTCTTATATTCTCTGATCTCATCAGATACAGCCGTGGCTTCAAAATCATCTTAGAGAGCCCTAAAATTAGCAGTTACTTTGGGACTCCTCCCAAAGTTTTAACTCTGCTTAAAGTTAATTAAGTTTTTAATGTGTGAGAACTAAGCGCAGAAAGGTCCCTATTCTGAGAGTAGAGGTGAGATGGGGGCTGTCCAGAGCTTGCTGTGAGAGGCCAGACTTTGGTGGGTTACCTGCTTAGAAGTTAGGCTGATGAAAGAAGACACCAACGATGGGAATTTGTTTACATCTCTTGAAATTAATTAAGGATAACTCAGAGGCGTCGAAACGTACATTTAAAGAGGGCGGGCTAACAGGGGGTGGGGGGGGAGCGGATACCGTATGGAGCCCACAAAGCCTTTACACGTGGATTAGCGTTTGCTAATCCCGATCTAAATCTTTGGCACATGACGAGGGCACAGGCTAAAAGCTAACTTTAATTAAAGCCGCTGACGGAAATCTAGCTTTTGTCACTAACTGCCTTTAGCGAGTTCCAGGAATCATCCCGATTGCTGGGGGGGGGTGGGGAGTGAGAGAGGGGAGCGTGGTTTTGGAAATCCGTTACGACTCCCGCATTACTTACCCTAAAACTTACTTAACAAAAGTCAATCTACTTTACAATTTCATTTTAACCCCTTGTAAAACAACAGTACCCTTGGCTCTGTTGCGTCCAAACTCGTCTTATAATTTAGATGAGTTTGAACAATTTCTAAACCTCATAATATAAATGAGAAAGAAAAATGAAATGTAACTGTTGACTTTTAAATTACATTTTTGTTTGAGTTGTTTTGAAACAGGGTCTCATTTTGCAGTCCACCCAGACATGGACCTCACTTGTATGTGGTCTAGGCTGGCATAGGCTCGAGCTAGCATTCCCAGACTGGCTAGATTTTTCTTTATTATATGATTATTTTCTCCTCCCTCTGGACTTCCTGTTCTCAGTCCCAACTGATCCCAAGCGTTCCTATTTCCTGGATAAGATGTGTTAATAAGATGTTTTTATTCAGTTACAGCCAGGGACCTTTAATGACTTGGGACATGGTGTTGCTTTGAGGACTAGTATTTGCATTGAAACAAAATGAAGAAAGATGATGTAATACAACATGCTGAACCAAGTTGAACGTGTATTTACTGCACCACACTGGACAGGAGTAGAGTTTCTCGGGCCATGTATATTATGCCATAGTGTAAGATTTGTGGTCTACTCGGAAGTTTTGATATGTATTCATTGGCCTCCCGTGATAAACTGTGAGGTTGATAGAGAAGTTGAGAGGAAAGAGCTTATTTTATCTCACGGTAACAATCCATCACTGAGGGAAGTCAGAGCAGGAACCTGGAGGCAGGAAGCAAAGACCATTAAGAAGTACTATTTCCTGGCTTGTGGAGAGATGGGGGGAGAGAGAGAGAGAGAGAGAGAGAGAGAGAGAGAG